AGCCAGAGCTTTAGACAGCGACACAAGAATTCAGTGTTGGCCACTCTCAGTGTAGAGAGGATGGAAGGTACTTAGGTGAGCTTGCCTGCCACATGAGGGGACCAGGATCTTCCCTCAAAGGATTACAAAATATACGGGWAACACTCATTGCTAAAGGTGAGCAAGGGAGAAAATAATCCAAAATACGAGTAATCCAGAGGCTTCTGAATGGTTTTCACTTCCACGGGAGCCAGATTGTTGTGCCTCAGGACATTTGCAGAGCTCTGCTGGCTAATTTGAACTATCCTTCAATTCTCAGGTGTCACCTCTTTGAAGACTCCCTTACCCTTGAGCCTGAGTTGGATGCCCCCTCCCACGATTTCCTATCTCATAGTCCCCAACAGGCTCTAGTACCCTGAGTCTCCAGCCCTCTCTGTAGCTGTTGTTCACTGTGACACTTCAGCTCCCAGAATAGTGCCTAACAATTGTTGCAGGAATGACTGAGGTTTTTCTAATTGTTTTGAGCCTAGAAATGGTTAGTGATCAGAGTAGCAGAGAGTGATTTTTACTTTGGAGTTTTGTTTAGTTCAAGATTTCACCATAAGCACTTCTTTAAGGAGCACATAATAGGGAACAGTAAAGAGAAAAGGTCAGAAACATCACTTTTGCTTTGATCCCCCTGGCCTGTCAAGCTCACCGAGTCTATCTTTGAATAAACAGGGCCTTCTCTAGAGAGCTCCAAACTCTGATGTAAAGTTTAGATCAGAATTTCTTCCCTGCAACTCCTGAACATGCTGGAAGGCTGTTGGAGGCTTTCAGTGACCTGTTCAGAACCTCTTAAATGTGCCCTGGGAACGCCCTCCAAACCCAYGCCCTCCCTTTGCCTTTCCCTAAACCAAATTGCCAGTCTGGGTTTGCTGGTCTCCTGCGCTGTGCCCCTGCAGAGATCACCCCTGCCTGTCCTGTGCACCYCTGCTCTTGTCCTGCCTCCCACCTGTGCTTTGTGACTGTTCTTCATTCCCCGTTGGTGCTCCACAGGGCTGCTTGGGTCCGCTGCAGGAGTCCAGGTTGAGCAGAGGCAGCTGTGTCTAACTGGGGGCAGGGGAGGAAGAATGATTGATGATTATAGGGATGTTTGCCTGGAGTTTTAATTAGACTGCCTTTTCTTGCTCCCCACCCCACCCTCCTTTCATCCCCAGCTCAGAACATCCACTTAGATAGAACATTAGTGTTTTAGAGACTTGGAACATTAGGTTTTACATTCTGCACCCACCGTCTCTATGCAATAAATAAATCAATAAGCTGATTGGTCTGAGTCGTTTGATTGCCCGGTGCATTGGGGGTACTTTTATTGTTCTTGAGTGAGGGATCATTTCTCACTAGCAAATGAGAGGAAAATGTGGGTGTAGGGTTTGTCTTGGCTTCTGATTTGCAATTCTGACCTGGGCKGGTGGTCATTCTTCCCAGCAACGTGTGTAACTTGCGAGAGGCCTGCCAGATGCCCTGCAGCCTGCCTTTTGACAGTTTTCCTAACTCGTGCATGTCATAAAAACATTTCTCATTTGCCAGAATAGTCCTGGGTTTGTTTTTGAATCTGACAGGTCCTCTGATACCACATTCTTAAGTCTCACTAACAGACAATTTAAACCCCAGATGCTGCCTTGACAGGAAGGAAGATTATATGATTTTCAATTTGGGTTGAAAATCAAATCCAACATATGACAACACTGAGACTCCAGGACCCTACAGATTAATTGTGATTATCTTACCGTGAAATGCTTTTTGTGGTAGAAAATGCCCTCCATTGATTGTTTCTGTCAAAAATCTTTGATTGGAAAACTTTTTATAATAAGAACACTGTCATTTCTAAAACACTTATTTATGTCTTGGGTTTTCCTTTGTTTTATGCAGTGGGTATGCCCCTGAAGAATTATTTATAAACTGAACTTCTACAGCAAAATTCATACATTAAATGCATTTGAGGAATTATTATTTTACTTGAAGGATGTTCCTATAATTAGAAAAATGACTTCCAAATTCACTTAAGAAGAGTAATGCTTATATATTGGGTCTTGTTTAAATGAGATAATAAGAATCAGACAGTCACCAGTAGGCTTCTTCTAGATCTCAATTGTTCTGACTTAATTACACTGCATTTCAACCCAGTAGAGTGCAGGTTTTGTAAATTATACATTTCTCACTGATCTTCAAAATTTGTATGCCCAGGAAAATCTTCCCCTGTCAAAACTACTCCTTGTTTTTTCTTGTCTCATTTCTTTAGTGAAGGATGTGGCTCAGAGCTTAGAGCTTGGAAGCTTTGGAATGTTCTGCTAAATAGTAGGGAATGTATTAGTTTCCTGAGCTACCCTATTAGGGTCTCATAAGCTTCTCGCCCTATACTTTTATGCTTCTGTATATTCTCCATTATCTGTTGCTGATTATCCATAAATGTGATTTTTGTCTTGCCATTCCGTGCTGGGGCTGCAGTCATCTGAAGGCTTGCCTGGGCAGGGTCAGCAAGATGGCTGATGGACATGATAGGCAGTTGAGGCTGAGTGTCAGCTGAGTGCTCAGCTGGGCTAAGGACCACAGCACTCATATGTGACCCGTTTTTTAGCTTCTGTTTCCCACATAGTAATTGGATTCTAAGAGGGACAGTCCCAAAAGAGTAAGTATTGCAAGAGGCAGAAGCCACAAGGCTCCTTATGATCTTGCCTCAAAATTCCAGAACTTCATGTCTGCCAGATTTTATTCATCCAGTGACTAAGGCCAACCCTGATTTAAGGGGAGGAGAATTAAGTTCCTCCTCTTGGTATGAGTTGCAGCATGTGACGACAGAGAAGGGAATGGTTGGAGTCCTTTTTAAAACTATCTACCTTCCTGTTTCAGAGGAAGGGCATTCTCTAGAGGAGCAGGACTGTGTGACTATACAGGGAACATAGGTTATTGTGGACAGTGTAGAAGTGTTACAGCATGTTTAATATGTACAAATGAGTTGGGCAGCACTGATAGTTAGAACTCGTGCTGGAGAGTTCTATTTGGACCCATTTCCACAACAGCCAGTAGCATACCACAGAAAAAAATGCTCCCAACCATTAATGCCAGCATAACTTATCCCACCTATATTAAAGATATTTGAAAAAATAACTTGCTAAGGGACTGTAAATAGCACAGTTTCAAAGATATGTTTACCTAGAAGCTACGCCAAGCTTGTATCCAACTTACATTGAGCCAGTCAAACCATATTCATATTGGAACCATAGACACATAGGGAGATGACGTAACACATCTGGTCCGTTTGGTTTTTGCTTGCATTTGGGAGGTACTTAGACAAGGCTGTGTCCATGGAGTATCTTATATTCTTGGAATGGACACTTTTTGGTGTTTGATTAAAAAAAGTCAACTCTGTCCATGAGCTTGAAAGTATAATTGCCTCCTAAACTTTAATTGACAGCTGTCCTGTTAATCACATGAGCCATAGGTTCCTGGATTCCGGAGCTTGGCTGATTTGGATGTGAAGGCTGACAGCTCCCTTGAATATATTATTTTTCACCATTTGTAACATTTTTCCTATCCCTTGAATATTTCTCTCTGGGGATTTAAATTTGTGTTGTGTCTGTGCTGACCATTTAGAAACAAGATAAACATTTTAATGTATTTATAGCCGGAGACTCTGCCAGAATTAATTAGGCTTAGCATTGGACGTACATTGAAGTATTAGTCTTTAGGAAAGGTCAGAAGAATATCTCTAGGTGGGAAAAGCAGATGTTTAGAGGAGATTGATAGCCATATTCTGAGTCAAACTTCTACGTGGGATTAGTACTTGTCTTAGTTTGGGCTGCTATAGTAAATACCGTAGACTGGACTGGCATATAAACAACAGAAAATTCTCACAGTTCTGGAGGCTAGAAGTTCAAGGTCAGGGTGCCAGCATAGTCGGGTTCTGATGAGAGCCCTTTTCCACATTGCAGACTGCCTGCTTCCTAGTATAGCCTCACATGACAGAAAGAGCGCCGGAGAATTCTTTGGGATCCCTTTTATAAAGACAGTAATCCCATTCATTCGCGAATTCATGGGATCCCTCATGACTTAACCAATTCCCAAAGGCTTCAGCTCATGATATTATTACATTAGGGGTTGGGATTTCAACATAGGAATTTGGGGGGAACATTAGCATTTAGTTTGTAACATTGCTCTTGATTTATTAAATGTACTGGTGGAGCTCTGGAGGTAGTTCCTGGAGATGACAATTCTATTAGGCTTGCATTTTTATGCTACTATGAAGGCATTTGGAAAGGGTAAGGAACATTCTTTGGAAGAGGGTATGGGAGAGAAAAAGGAAGCATCACATAAATATAAACCTTAGGATAGTGGACAGTGGCGCGGGGGGGGGGGTGGTGGGTGCTGAAATCCACACTTGCCTGACCTTTTCTATGTAGATCATTTCACATAGAGACCTGTCCTGTTCTTTGCTCCCTGATAGAGCCCACCCCTCCCCACCAGCAGTCTAACCCTTCACCTTTCAGTCACACTGATGTAGACACACAGTCTACTTTCTTCCCTCATTTCTCTTCTGCCCACGAATATTAATTGAACTCCTACTATGTGACAGGCACTATTACACGGAGGAATGTCACATGAACTCTCAAATTGGGAGACCCACAGTAAACCAGCAAACAAATAATAAAATTACAGATTGATTGGTGCTATGGGATAAATGGAATTAGGATGAAGGATAATAGGAAGGGGATTCCTTTCAGTAGGGTGATAGGGATAACCCTTCAAGGAGGTGACATTGCGAATTCTAACCCCACTGGCTAAACATGAAAATTTTAGTATGTGATGTTTTCAAGTTTCTTAAATCACATGTTAATATGAAAATTAAAATCCTTTTTGCCTTTCCTGAGCCCAAACTGTAGAACGTCAAATGGACATCAGTTCTGGGGAGTGGAGGGAAGCCAGCTGCATGGCCAGGTCCCCTCCCGACTGACTTTCTGCTCATGACAACTTTTTCTCCTTAGGGAAAGGAGACGTGTTTGGAGATGTGTTCTGGAAGGAAGCCACACTTGCCCAGTCCTGTGCTAACGTGAGGGCCTTGACCTACTGTGACCTGCATGTGATCAAGCGGGACGCCCTACAGAAAGTGCTGGAGTTCTACACAGCCTTCTCCCACTCCTTCTCCCGGAACCTGATCCTCACCTACAACTTGAGGAAGAGGGTGAGCTGACAGTTTTAGTTCTTTTCTATACTTTGCCATGTTCACTTTGGAAGCCAGGAGAGTCCTTGTGCTATTTATTTTCAGTGGAGTAATGGATGCTAACAAGGTTCTGCATGTTTCTTGCTCTGCAAAATTTTTGCTGTCCAATGGAGGAGAGAGGGAATGTTGCTTGATTAGAAGATGGATGGATTTGGTGCAAAAGGCATTTGATAATGCACGGTAGAGGCTTTTTCTTCCTACCAATATCTAGACCTTCTAGCATTGGGAAAAGATGAGTAAAACATGAGGTTGCTCACCAATAAAATGGCAGCATGGAGCTGTTTAATTAATGTAAACTGAGTTCTCCCCAGTACTGGAACCCACTGAGTAGTGTGGTGCAACCAATTGGCAATGATACTTTCTACAAAGATATAAAGATACTTTAATTGGGCCCAGGAAATGGAAAAAGATCTGGAATTTGGTTGTCTAGAGAACAGTTTGTAAACGGCTAACAAAGAATTGATCAGTAGTTTAAGAATCTGGAAGATGTCTCCTCTGAAATWATTTTTTTCATGCTTAAATCATCAAAATTTCTCCATGTGTTTTATAAGGATTAAAATATTTGTCCTCTTTAGGTTTTCATGATTGATTTTCTTGTACTTGAATGATCTCTTTTGGTCAAATCAGTAATGCAGTAGTTCTGGACCTAAAAGAACCATCTGGAAAGACTCATAAAAACCTTCCCCCAAATGACCTCTAGTCTTTCCTCTACCCTGTTTCTTGTCATGTGGTCTCTGTTTCTGTTTACATTGTCTGATTTGTCCTGGACTTCCAAGTGAGAAATCCTAGTATCAATGTTGCTCCTCTCTCTCCCCCATGCCTTGGGTTCTCATTAGATCCTACTGGCTCCACCTAAGCTCTCAAATCAGAAATCATACTTTGCTTTCTTCCTAAGAACACAAAGCCCCTTTCTTATAGCCCAGACCCAGTAGGATCATGCAGTGGGTTCCACACTTACCAACTCACCTTCCTGCCTCGTGTCCATCCCCTGTTCAGTGCTTTCCTCTCATGCTCACTCAAACAATCTGATCCTGTACAGGATCATGTCAGTACACTTCAGCATGGCTTATGTGTGCTGTCCACATGTGATCCAAACTTAACTCCTGATCCCTGTCCTCAGCCACTCCTGGCCATACCTGGCACCCTGAATGGCCAAATGAATTAGATCATGCCCAGTGTGCCAAGTAGTCTATAAAAAAAATGAAACCAAATGGTATTCAGTTCTCTATCTCCAAGGATCTAAAGCCTAATGGATCCAACATGGAAAGGTAACTTTCAGTTCGCAATGCTAATACAATGATTGTGATTCACCCAGGGCATCATGGGACAATACAGGGGTAGGGCAGCTAAATGGGGAGTCAGGGAGAATGTGTGGAGACGATGAGCTGAGTCCAAAGCATGCGTTTCCCAAACAGAAGGGCAGGCGTTCTACTTGGAGCAACAATTTGAACAAGGTCTAGAGAAAGGAAACAAGTTTTTGTTCTCTAAGTTCTTTGTATAAGGCTTGAATTACCTGTCCTTGGATTACCCAACCACTGTGTTTCCTCCTCTTTCAAACCCCTTGCATTTCATTGCTTTGAAAATTCCTACTCGGAGACCTGAAAGTTCTTATCTYAGAGTGCTTAATTGAGTACCAAGCATTTGAGGGTGGAAAAGGAGAAAGAAATGAGCTCTCTAAGCCTCGGTTTCCTCCTCATAAGATGTAAGGTTGTGGTTAGATGATTTTTAGGGATCTGTGATTTGAAACCTGTTGTCTGAGAACATGGAATGCTAGCTGGTGATACTTTTAGCCAAATGGATTTTCTTAAAATTTATTTTTTGATTTATTCCTTTTTTCTATGAAAGCAAGTTGATTATAATCAGCTTTCAGTGTTGCTGATAATATAAGTTGAAAAAATATGCAGTTCAGTTTATTTAGAGATGTAATCATCTTGTAATAACTGTCTTTAAGAAGACAACAAAAAGAATAAACCCTTGGGGGTCAGCTCATTTTTATAAGTACAGAAAGATTGACAACTTGGAACAAGAGAAGACTGGAAACCACAGCTTTGAAGGACTGAGTCTATAGAGCCACAATTGCAGAGGAAGAAGCAAAACTATGGACAGACAGCTTTGGCACAGTATAAGAATATTCTTTGAAAGAGCAGCACTCCCCCAAAGCATTCAACGGGCTTCCTTGAGTGGTCTCAGGTTTGTTGACCTGAGGGTATCCATTATTTGTGCTCAGGAACATTGTGGAAGGAATTTAGGCCTCCATTGGAGAGCCAAATTTTCTTCCCATCTCAAGTGCCTATAAGTCTGGTCCTAATCCAAAGGAATTTTAGTGAGAGCCTTGATATAAAGAGGTAGCCGTTCTTTTCTTAGAAAAAGGAGACTTGTCATTTTGGTATTGCCATTTTTGTCTCCAATTGTGTCCTTCTGAGAAACAATTTCTAGTTGCATGGGGCATGGGTGATGAGAACATTATACACATGAATTATTCTTGTAGCTTTTTTTTTTCGGTCTGGCAAAATGAAGTATATTCTTAGGGATGTTTCTATCTTGGCAAAATCAAGCAAGCTATTTGCTAAGATTTCTGAGAACACAGTCCCTTAGACATCTGTTTGGGGAATTGTTTGATCCTGTAGACCTCATCCTGTACATAGCAAAAACTCTGAACTGGAAAGTGCCTCAGTAGCCAACCAGTCTGTCTCCCATGTCCCTACCACTTGCTTGTCAAAAATGTGATATTTTATAGGAAGGTTACATAGCTGGGCTGGTAATTAAAGAATTGGAGTCAGAAATCACTTCTGGACCAGGAAACTTCCTGCTTCTTACCATCTCTTGATCCCTTCAGAAGTCTGTGTTCTAGGCCTCATTTCTCTATCCCTGAATTCAAGTATATAAGCAACACCCAGCTGTCAATACTGCTCTTGGGATTCAACTCAGGAAGAGACCTTTCACTCCTTCCATTTCCACTGAAGTCATACGACGAGGATCTGGGCAAAAATGAGAAAGGAGATGCCTGGAAGCCAATTTGGCATTCAGACCTTTAGTTTTTCTTGGCTGAGCCAGATAAGACTTTGACCTAGGTCCTGTCTCTGATGCTTAGTGCTACTGCAATTCTGGACAAGTTATGAAAGCTTTGTCATCTTTAAAATGATGAAAATTTTACCGTGTAGGACCATGGATTAAATAAGATAGTACTCAATAAAGTTATTACAGAGCCTAGAACATAGTAAGGGCTAGTTAAGCTGTGGGTGATTGTTATTTTGTCTGGTCTGCTTGAGTGCTATCCTAGTCTTCTTCATCTTGTATTTTTTTGAAAAACAAACAGAAGGCAGATCCCCTGCCTTTGCTCAGAGTTCCTGCTCTGCAGGATGTTCTGTGGTGTATGTATTGTTCCAGGGTTCTCTGCGCTTTTTGCAACAGAGGAACAACTGGCCACTCTGGAAAATGGAACCCAGCATGGGCCTTGCTGACCCTTCAGCTCCTGCCAGTGGAGAGGCCAGTATTTGCCCATCGTTTTGATCAGTTCCATTCTTGGAGGGAAAAATCAGATTATCTTGAGACCTTGAAGCAATCACCAGGGAGCCAAGAGGAACACTATGTGGAAAGCTCAGCATCCTTATTTCTTAAAGGAGGTAGCTACAGTTAATAGTGAAAAGCAGAGGAAGGTATAAACTTGTACAACTCAAACTCTTGCCTATCTAGGGTACCAGGCTCTAAAAATATTTTCCTGTAGGCCACAAGTCTTCCTCTGTCATCATACTTGCTCACTATCAATAGTAAAATTATTTCCAAGTCTAGACAATGCAAGCTACAGCAGGGCCTCACTGAGTTGCTTGGGGCCTTCCTAAGTTGCTGAGGCTGACTTTGAACTTGAACTCCTCCTGCTTCAGCCTCCCAAGCCACTGGGATTACAGGTGTGAGCCACTTCGCCTGGCTTGGTGTGTGCTTTATGTCAGCTTACCAAACCTTCAGAGCAGCTTCATGACACTAATGTTCCCACTTTTTGTGGGAATAAACTAGGGTCCTGTGCAGAAGAGAATCCCTTTCACCCAGCTACTAAATTGGCAGACTCCAACGCTGTTCCTCCTGCTAAAAAGCATCACATCCTGTAACTAGCCTTTGGGAGTGTGACTGTCAGCTCTTCCCATGGTAGTTTTCTTTGATTTCTTCCAGTGTGTTGACTTTTTCCGGATGGCACAGTTGTCTCCTGTGTATCTACAATGGCTTTTGTCACATCAGTGTTACACTCAGAAACTTGCCTAAAACCATAGCCATACTCAAGATTTGGAGACATAAGAAGTGTACCCTTAGTAGTGACAGGCACTTAGTAATAACAGCTTGGTTGGACAGCAGACAAACCAGGCCATGAGAATAGCTTTCTAGAAAGAGCAGTCTTAGGTCTAAGAACCTATTTGAATGCTGGTTTGGCGACTGACTAGCTGTGAACTCACAGGCAAGTTGCTGAACTGTTAAGGAGGATCTAATATGAGTCCTTCCTAATTAGAATTATTGAGAATCTCATATACAATAAAACAGAAATAAAGGTGATCTAGTGCTTGTAAGAATCATTCAGTTGGTATTTACCCCTTTCTTTTCCCCACTACCCGTTCCTTACCTCCACCTCCAATCTAGAAGATTCTGAATTCTTGTTTTTTTCCCCCCTTGATTTATAAGCAGATCCATTTCTTCAGTCCACATCCCTCTGGGCTCTACTTTTCTTTCAACCTGAGATGAGGTTTCACTTCCTGGGTGCCAGGGAATTGGGTCTTCCTACAGATCATTAGGACAGTAAGGAAGAGTACCACAATGAAATGATGTACTACAGACAAGCAATTAGGTAATTAACAGCAGTGAGTGCACAGGATAATTGACATGTAGGTAATTGGTAGGGTGGTTCTCATTCTCCGTGTAGGGTTTTATTTTTAAAGCCAATATTGTTGTGTATTTGAGAGTGTTTTGCAGTGTTTGCT